CCGAAACAGCTGAACGGAATTAGTAGCCCCAAGTGTGAAGACTCAACGCCAACTCACTTTGTACTTCACGGAGCAAGTCACGGCTTTCGTGCTCCGGCTCGCTTGACAAGCTGCTGAGTTTGCTGCTGTGCTGTGCTGATGTAGCCGCTGTTTGAAAAAGCCCTGAACCCTAAAAAGCTCAGTATATCCGGCATTTCGAAAACCTGGACAACATCATGGAAGAGCTAAGGGTTTCAGGGCTTTGCATGCCTTTCGTGCTGCCTGCTACAGCTTTGCTGCAGCTCTTTTGATTGTGTGTCCTGCCAGCTCATGTGCGCTGGCTCTGTGTTGGCATTGCGCGCTCGCTTTCTTTGCCGTGCAAGCTCCATCAGGTCAGCCTAGAACCTACAGGCCCAAGTCCAAGAAGCTCACACTCTTCGCAGAAGTCTTGTGATATGCTTCGCAGCTTTCTTGAAGTTCCGGAGCTCCGCAAGTTCTCTGCTCAGCACGTTTAGCGAACAGCCGTGAGCCATAAAAGACTCGCCTGTAAATTTATGGGGTGTTAGGGTTTGTGGCTATGGAGATTTGAGTTCAGCATGCTGGGGCGGATAGTTCACGCTGCACTGTTTCCGATTTCGGGGCACCGCGTCTAATGCCAAGGCTTCGGATTCTGGCTGACCGGCCTAATTCTTGGTTTGGTGGATGTTCACAAGACTGCAGACAAAGTCGAAGAGAGTAAAGCTGTCTCCTGGGAAAGCGATTAGGTGGCGGTCGGACGAGGAATTCGGGCTTCAGGCTGTGACTCGGTGCCACGGTGAAGGAATCGATGTGTGCGCGGAAGGCCATTTGCAAAAGCCCTGCATGTTGCAGCTGAACTGCTCTCGATTTGGGCCTGTGCCCGTGGAGAATCCCCTCAAACCAGAATGCCCTGTGAAGCTCAGATAATGCAGCACGAAACTCGGACCTCAAAGCGTTGAATGTCCTCTGTCAATAGCCAGCAGTACGGTAGTTCATCGATACCGGTCGATGAGGGGACGGCGAAACTCGGCGAAACTCTTGGAGAAAGAAAGCAGTTTGCCAGTAATCTGAATCCCCAAGTGGGCATGTAATAGCGAGGGCTGGAGTGCCTGAACCTAAACGGTCTGGGCTGCATCTGTTTATTTTGAAGCTGGCAAGGCCGAAAACCCCTGTCTGGAACCCGCGATCTTGAACTCGGCAGCCGTGAAAAGAAGACCTAGATCCTAATTTCAATGCCAGAACAATCCCCATGACTCCTAAACCCCACGCCCGGAGCAAGACCGTAAATGTTTGCCCTTGGGCGCTAGGCACTGGCAGATGTCTGGCGAGCGTGCCGCTCGTGCAGGCGATAAATAAATCAGTCTTTGTGCTGTACATCTTTATGAGATGTTGCACGAGGCTGTTAAGTGTGATTTTGCACGCAGGGTCCTATGGTTGTTATTTTTTTATGATAAGGGTCTTACTTACAGGATTCGTTCAGATTTTATGGAAGGCTCCGGAGGTTTACGCTTGTTGGGTTCAAGGTGTGAAGGTGGTCGGGTCAGGACAGCCCAGAGAGCATAAGAGACCCGAAACTTCGAACCCCAAGCCGTGCTTGGCTCAAATTGTTTGCCCAGCCCAAGATGTCGAAAATCATCTTGAATGGCTGCACAGCGTTCTTGGCCAACAAATGGCTGCCCTTCTAGAAGACTTGACGCTTCAGAAGTCCTTATCCGAAGGTTTAACGGTTTAACGAGTTCGGTAAGCCAAAACCTACTTACCTTTTTTAACCTCCATGTCCCGCTGTGGGGCTTCAACCTGTTAGGACAGTTCAGGGTAGTTTTAATTTTAATGTAGGGCAAGCACAGCTGGAAAGCCCCAGGACCGCGCCTACTGGGAAGTGCATGTGGTGGAGGTTCAGAGCTGAGTTTCCCTGAAACCTTGATGCTTGGTAGGCATTTTCCATTATAGTCCTTGCTTTGATTAGTTCACGTATAATGCACCCCAAAGCGTTCGTCAGGCCCCTATAAAGTCCACTGGCCTACACGTGTCTCTTAGACCTGACTGGATGGTTGGGGTTTAGGGTTTAGGGTGTTCACCATGTTGCATACTCTCAACCCGCAACCTTCCAAAAGATGTGTATGTGTCAACCCTGGGCTTAAAGCTTGAGTGCGAGCCTTGCCCTCGTACGCCACAGCAACGCGAAACTGTCTCCGGGTTCGAACCCGGCCCTGCCTTCAGAATGCTGCGTGTTCGACGGACTGGTCACTGTGGGCTCCGTCACGATTAAAGTCCGAGCCGAGTCTGGGCAATGACAGCGACAAATCTTGTGAAAGCTCCGTGTTGCTGAACACTATCAATGCGGAGTTTGTGGATGTGAATCCAAGCCTCGCCGCTGTTGTACGTACTACATCCCGTCCCTCGTCAGTCCATAATCGGCTTGCCTATCTACTTGCTCATGGATAACGACAGCGGTCGGCATGTGGGTGTGCATGAGTTTCCATTCGTGTATGCGTGTAGGCCTGGAAAACATGTGTAGGCATGTGTGCACGTATCTATGCGGGCTTCCGACTTCCAACATGCCATTGCAGAGTCAGAGAAAAGATGGAGCCGTTTGTTGAACGAAGGTTTGATATCCTGCAATCTCAACCAAAGGTGCTGTCTGCACTCGATGCACCTGAGACAGCTCCTGAGGTGTCGGACGGGGCATCCCTCCTGGCTGGTGTCGCACCGAGAGGCAGAGAGCAAAGCTCTCCTCTTGAGTTCTTTCGTTTTGAAGGGCAGTAGCTCGGCAGTGGACAGTTCAAGGATGCTCCGATGCTCCTCAATAAGAACGCTGGGCTGGCTGGGGTTTGCAAACAGCGTTGGTCTCGATGGGCGGCAGAGGTCTGAAGGTGTGTGCCTGGCTTCGCGCTTGTACGATAACAAAGTTGTTTGCTGTTTGGGCAAGGTTCGGGCAGAACTCCACATGATCTAGGAGTTCGGCTTCATGCCCGCCAGGGTTGACATTTCAGATTTGGATCGGTCGCATGAATTCAGGGCGTAAGGGTCTTGAATCTTGAAGGCTTTCCAGCACGGGCTTCTGCTTCATGTTGTTAAACTGGGGTTCAAGATTGTCATAGCAAGCTCGATGGTACCAGAGCTTGGCTGAAAGACCTACCGCTGGCTGAGCAAATCAGTGCTGACTCGCATCTCTTCAATCTGTATAATAACTGTATAACCCCTCTTGTAGTTCTCGAGGCTCCCGTGCTACACAATGACTTTCGTTCCGCAACACGAAAATTTAGCCGAGCGCCCCTTGGCGGGCTGGTGCTGCAGAGTTCGAGTCCCAACTGGTTCTACACATTGCGGTAGGAGGCAAGTTTCCCAAGGGCTTTAGTAGCTTTATGAGTCGCGTGGATCCTCAGCCTCCACGAGGTTCATGGCTCGAGAAGTTGGGCCTAAATCAACATCCCACACTTCTCTAGTTCATGGCTTTCTACACCCGATATAACTAAAGCAGGGCCAGACGACCATCTCCAAGAGAGGCAGGCGACTCAAGATGTTACGACCTTGGGACTTCATAAGTTTAGGGTTTATAGGGCTTATAGTTTTTACTTAGTGCGGGCTTGAAGTCACATGGCTTATTGAGGTTTAGGGTTCCGGTGAGTTTTGTTTCCTAGGTCCGGCGTAGCGGGGCCATTATCCTAGGTGTGGCAAGATACGCCTTTCCTCCCTACGTTTGGTCTATTTGGCCCCCCCGCCTTCTGGTCCTCGGGTACTTCGTGGTCGCTCGGCCTTGTTTTCGTGAGGCTCGGCGGAGCTGTTCTTTCCGAAGTTGATGGGCCTTGCTTTCCACTTCTGGCTGCCCTTATGGAGGTGGTAGAGGTCTGGAGCATTGAGTAGCACGAAAAGAGAAGAAATGATGATAGAAAAAGACGAATATGAAAGCTAAGGAACAGCACTGATGACCATCACAGAAATGATGTTCGAGCAAAAAGGACAAGCCTGCTTTTGACAGAACGACAACAGGAACCAAGAGCCGTTTAGGCCACCTTGTGCCTTTGGTTAGGAGGGTGCTCTTTCACCACACCTATCGGCCCGTTCTTGCCCCCATGTTCTCTAACATTAGCTTTCGCACGCCGCCATGGCAACATGACTGGCATGCTGGTGCTTGTTTTTTTTTCTTTGTTGCTGTTTGCCTGTCTCTGTCAGTCCCGTGGAATCGCACCCGTGTCAGTTGCTTTCGCCGAGATTGGGTCTCGCGAAGTCGTTTGTCGCTCCACGGACCCCGCGGAGGCTGCAGCCTAGGAAGGAGTCTGCGGCAGTGTGTTGAGCGCCCTGGAGGACTGCTCTGTGCTGCGTTCTCAAGCTAAGGAGGCAAGCTCTTCGTTTTTTCTACCAGCAGCAACGGCAAAAGTGATGTTTCCCTGCAGGCTTCGGGCCCTGGTACTGGTTCAGTGATTAATCGGGTGTACGACGTTCTGAGCATCAGCGGCCAATGCCCCGGCCAGCTCCGCATCTCCTGCTTTGGCCGGATGTCCTGTCTTGCGGCAAGCGAAGATGGAAGTTCCACGGTTCAGAGGTTGTTCGATTTCGCTCCCTTCTGTCGCAAGCTGTTGTGGAACTACCGGCATCCTCCCAATCACTTGCCAGAAAGGAGGCGATACTGACGGATCACATGATTCACCAAGTCTTCTGCCGCATACCACGACGTTGCAAACTGTATGTTCTGCAAGAAGGCCTATTCCAGGCCAGGCCAAGTTGGGCCGGTCCAGGCCAGCAACACTCAAACACTCGGAGAACAAAAACCTCAAGCCGGTTTCACAAAATTTCGCGTTTGGATCGGCTTGGATGGTTGCTGGAGGGTTTGGCTTCGCCTAATCTATGTGTCAATGTTGAGAAAATTGGTTTTCGAAGAGTAGCTGAAGGCTGTGGCCGTGAGAGGTCGGTGCTGACCAGGGCATGGAGGTTTGATCTGCAGGGTCGCGAAGCTGCGAAGAGTTACACCAATACTTCCTCTACACTTCGCAGCAACAGGCCTCGGCTCTTACTAGCGCCGGACCGTCAAGAGCCCAAGCCTCCAACCCCTTAACCCCGAAAGCCTGAACCCACGATCGACCTGTGACTTATACAGCCAGTAACTTCAAACCTCAGATCCGAAAGTATCTAAACTCCAAAGCACTCATGGCGAACCCCCCCAAACTTGAACCCCCCCAAACTTTGGGCTCCCTATGGCTCCCTGATCCCCAGTTCATTTTTTCAGCGCTGAAAGCCCTTTCAGGCTTGGGGCCACGGCTCGGTCCTATGGCGCCGAGCCCCTTCGGCGTCGTTTGCATTTGGTGGGTTGCAGGGGTTGAGGTGGCTGGCTTTGGTGTAGGAAGTTCAGGGCTTTGCGAGTTCAGAGGCTTAGGCTGCGGTATGTAGCTAGGTAGGCGGAGGCAGGTAGGTTGATAGATACGTAGACACATATAGGTAGGCAGGCTTGCAGGCAGGCACAGGCAGGCAGGCAGGGACGCAAGGTACGCAGATACGTAGACAGGTAGACAGGTAGATACCTAGGTAGGACTGGTCGATAGGCACGTAAATAGATAGATGATGACAGTTCAACCATGCAGATATCCATGTGGTTGTGGGTTGCTTTATGTGTCAGCATGCAAATATGTATTTACATAATATTGACATACACATACAGGCTGAGAACCTTGCTGAATATTTTGCGATTTAATTCTGTGTGTATGTTCTGTGTATGCACAAGTTAAGAGGTTTACAGATGAGTCTCGCCCCCAAACTCAAACTAGCCCCTCGTGGTGTTGGTGTTGGTTGGCTTGCGCCACAGATCGATGAGTCCCCTAAACCCTAAAGCCAAGAGCCATCACCTGAAACTATACACTCTGAAACCGCCAACCCCATAACCCTTAGACTGGTTCCAATTGCTCGTAGACATGTACCTCACGGTAGGTTTCCATGAGCATATGTATATATATATAATTATATATATTTATATATATATATATGTATGTATATATATATATATATATATTTGATATGATATGCACATAGAGAATGTATACTTCTATGTTTGTATTCATATATATATATATATATATTTATTTATTTGTTTATTTATACAACGTGTCTGTACATATCTGTCTGTGTGCATGTATATATGGCTATCTTTCATTCACCAGCTGGCACCTGGGTACCATTTGCAGGCTGGGTGCTGGATGTGGTTTGACGTTGAAGTCTGGTGACGTCGGAGCCCTGGGATGCAAGCGTAAGCAAGACCTTGCAAAATCTGATGCTTGCTAGCGGAGTCTTTGTTTGAGGCCGTACTTCCTGACAGTCCCATGTTATTTGTTGCTGTGGGTTTCGGCTATCTCTTGGATCTCGGGAGCGGTAAAGCTTTCGGGTCGTAGCCTGTCGAGGCTGACTTTTGGTTGGGCTCTCTACGTATGGTTTGGGGTGAATTAGGGGCTCTGGGTTTCGGACTTGGATTCAGGGCTCTTGTTCTCGTGCGGATTGGAGTTTCGGGTGTGGGCTTTCACGAGGTTTCGGGTGTAGGAACTCGGGGGTTCAGGCCTAAAAGCTCATGGTTAAGACTGTTGAGGTCTGATGTGTCGGTGGCCGTAGAAGCTCCAGTCCAAAAAATAGGCTTCAATCTCACGAGACGCGGGGAAAGTGCATGACAGTCAATGTTGGGGTTATGTTGGGTGTAAGCGGATCGAGGCCTCTGTTGCGGTTGACTCGGTTGTTGTCATTGTTGTTGTCTTGCTTGTGGTTGTCGTTGTAGTGCTGGTGCTGTTGCTGCCGCTGCTGCTGCTGATGTGGCTGCTTGCGCTGGTGCTGGTGCAGGTGGTGCTGCGGAGTTGTTGCGTTTCTACTGAGGTATGATGCGGATAAAGATAGGTTCGTGCTCATGGGCTAGAGTTCTTGGGCTTCGGTTCGAGGTGTCTCAGATCATGTTTGAGGATTCCCCTGCGCAGGGGCTCTCTGTGTCGAAGGCAACCACAGCCGAGACAGGTGATGTATTCAGCTCTGCTGACAGAGTCAGGCTCGAAGCAGTTGGCAACGGCTGAAGCTACAACATAGGCTAGTTTAGGAATCTGATGAAGAAACCCCGGGATCCATTTAGTAGCGGGTTCTGAAGGTCTTTATCAGCTCCTACATTCCTAAGCCCGAAGCACGTACGAAGCCCCAGAGCCTCTGCATCTCGAGCTTGCGCACGGCGAGCCTCAAATCACCCAAGATCCATGGACCGCAGTCCGCACAAGATCCCACAGTGCTGCAATAACTGTTGAAACCCTGCACTGTCCACTTCGAAGATTGAAACAAGACTTTGCTCCAGACTGTCGTGGCAAAGGTGATCAGCATTGCCTACGACCAAGCCATATTCCCTGTCACGGTCAGGCACCCTGTTGCTGGCCTGACTGCCAACTGGAAGTTTCAACACAGAACGGAGCCGAAACACATTCGCCATGTTAAGAAATTTAGCTTCCAGGGTTTGTAGGGTTGGCTTTGCTTGCTGTTCATGGGTTCCTGCTCCAAAAGCCCACAATTAGCCGAGCTACGCTCAGAAGACTGCAGCCTGAAACCTAAACTCTACAGTCAAACCAAACGAGACCCGCTGCAACGCTATCAAGCCCAGAATGCGCCGATGGATAGACATTAACTTTGAGACCTGCGGAACTCCACAATAGCAGTGTCGCTCATACCTCCCAGACTCCATCGCACAACAGGAACAGGGATCAGAGTTCTGAGAGTATGTACAGGACTCTCTGCGACCCGGGGTGCAAGTAAACTTAACTTAGGGTGGGGATCTGCTCTTGCAAAGCCCTCCAAGCTCTCAGCACAACATCGCACCAAACCTGCATTCCCTTGGCAATTGCATCTAGCATGCCTTAAACGCAAAACACTAACCGTAATCTTTAGTTGCCAACCTTAGGTCAGCACGTGGCACAACGGCGTCCTCCTTCAGACGCCCATGGCACGAGGGTGCCGTCCTAAAGAGCCTGTCCTTGAGTGCCCAAAACCCCGTAGTTTTGAGTGTTTACGGGCTTCAGGGGGTTAAGGAGAATAGCCGGCCTTAAAGCATCAAAGCCGACACCCTAGAACTGGGGCTTGAACGCCTTGAAGCCGAGCACTTGAGTCTCAAGCCTGAAGTCTTGCTACTTTTTCCCTTAAGCCCAAAAGCCCGATATTTCGAACCCTCGAGAAGTAAGCCGGAGAGTCTGGGGTTTAGGGCCAGGGTTAAGGAAAAGGGGTGTAGATGTGGGCACAAGCGGTTTCGGAACTTGCGGTTTAGGGGCCTTCAGTGCCAAAGATTTACTCCGTCGTGTGCACCGTTTCAAACAGTTCGAGCCACGCGCTAAAAGAACCCAAAGACGAACCACTCCGCCTATGCCCATAAAAGCACGGGCGCAAGCCCTTGCCGGATTCAGACATGTGACTGGTGACAGCTTTAAGAACTTTCAGCCGGTTTCCTCTGTCCGCAATCTCTAAGCTCCAAACCTTGCGCCCGGAACGGTAGGCAGCTGGACACATGAGTCTCGTCAACAGGCTTTAGGGCCCGAAGCACAAAGTTCCTCGGAGGCTCAAAGGCGAGCTCTTTCCCGCGCTTTTCCTATGCGAGATTGCCACCTGATGGGGATTACTGGATGTAGGTTGTAGGTGCCAGGCTCGTACTGCATTATAGGGTTCAGAGACTTCGGAGCCCGGAGGGTTTTTTGTTCGGCCGTTGTGCTAACTCTGACGCTCCTTGCCGAACATGTATTCAGCAATGTGTGTCCATGGTTATATTCACGGTTGTCGGTAAAAAACCCGGAAGCCCAGAGCCCAAAAGCCAAAATCCCATAAGCCCCTTGTACCATAAAGCCGTAAACTGAAACCCGACGCCCACTACCCCAAAGCCTTAAAACCCAAACCTCCGAAACCCAAAGCCCCAAGACCGGAAGCCTTATCTTTTTCAGGGCTTACAGGGGTTTGTTCAATTTTACAAGTGGTTTCTATGTGATGAAGATGGGAGGATAGGTGCTTATGGAGTTTAGGATATGTACGGCTTTGTTTTTTGGGGTTCCATGCCTCAAGTGCTTTGAGACCGCCTGGGAACGAATCCGCGCCCTTGAGAAACCAAAGTGAACAAACGCGAAACCCTGAACTCTAGTCAGTAACTTGGATTGCATGCAAAGACATCGTGCTTGCAGACCGAAGTCTTGACGCCGTCGAGGAGGAGAAACTGCAGAGCCGTTCAAAAATCTCGGCTGGTACCTTATAATGTAAGCCCAAGCTTCAATCCCAAGACTTGCGAGGTAGTTGACTGGGCTTTGGCAGAAGGCCACTGGAAGCAGCCAGCCTGCAAGCCACAGGCACAATTTGGATTACTCGGCTTGAGGTTTAAGGGATGTTTCTGGGTGTAGGTGTGTGTGTGTGTGGGTGTGGGGGGGTTGGGCGTTTACTGTTCCATCGGGTCCCTCGTCCGGGCTGTTCTAATTACAATTGTTTGTTCTAGTTCTCCGGTGTTCTTCGATTCGCGCAGTCAAGCTTTTAAATTTGAGGCTTCAAGGCGTTGGGGCTTGGGGATGAAGTTGCGGATGTCGAGGCTCAGAGCCTCGCACGTGCGATTAGGCAGTGTCTGGAGAACCTCACGCCAACCTGTATAGCCCCGTGAAGGGCTATCCAAATAAGACCAAAGTACCTGGACACAGGACCACCTTCAGTGAATCCTCATTGCTCGAGGATCAAAGAGTGGAGCCCGAAGCCTGCCCCACATTGGGGTGGGATGCAAGGAGGGTTGTACAGCAACTTGAACACGAACCGCACGAGCTAGAAGCAAGTCCCATCGAAAACACAGCTGTGGTGCAGCCGGGCACCTACAACCAGAGGTTGCTGGGGGGGGGTGGGGGGGGGGGGGTAGCACAACGGGTTCTAGTCTTAGCAGATCACTTTCGCACTGAAGTGCCATTTTCAGTCCATCTCTTCGGGCTCAAACCCTCGGCACTTGCATGAATCGAAATCGCCATCCTTACATTGCATTCGGAACCTTCTTCGTAGATCGCCGCGTTGCGTAAGCAATTGCATCTGCGACACTCAGCCCCACCACATTTCTATATAATTATATATGTGTATGTCTTAAACTACAACCACGGTCCCTGAACGTTATAAGCCCCAAGCATCTAGGCAACCCTGAGACCCAAACCCTAAACCCGACATAAGAACGTTCCAAACCCCGAAAGGCCCGGCGACCTTACTGCAACCCAAGTCCTCAAGCAGGGCTTTGATGCGATCATGCCCAGCCGCGGTCTGATCGGGGGCGACTGACATGCTGCATGTCTGCCGGGTGCAGGGTTGAGGGTTTGGAATGAGGACTGGTACCATTTCTGCTCCTAATACTCTCGACAGTGACCAGTCACAAGCAAAAGGTATCGTCACACCATCAGCAGCAGCAGCAGCGACTGGTACAGCTGCAACCGCGGCTTGTGCGACCACAACTACTACGAGCACCACTGAAAGTAGACCGAGTTCTTCACATGTCTACCGCTTCGCATTATGTCGTTTTGGACTTAGAGCTTTGTGTTTGTTTGTTTGTGTGTGTGTGTGTTTGTTTGTTTGTTTGTTTGTTTTCGTCCTCCGGGGTGCGAGTTCTACGACTTAACGCCAACCTGCCTCTGACATGAAAAGCCTAAACCTTGAGCCCCGGATCTGGAATGTACTCCCGTTCGGTCTTGCTCTGGTCTCGGCTGCGAGGTGTGCTGGGATGTTCTACGCCTGCCCTATAGTTTATGACGAATCTAATAGCTGTTTTTGCCGCACGGACGTCTCAGGGCCGAACAGAACACACCAGACTCCTCACCTTGAAAGCCAGATGAAGGAGCCCAGAAGCAAGAGATCGCCTGCGGTTAGCGGGGGTTCGCGAAAAAGACGTAATGTGAAAACCGAGCATGCCTGCATGATGACGGCTGTGACCTTCCTCGTAGTATGTAGCTGTCGCAGATAATTGCGACAGCAACAGTAGCTCGCTGCAGTCGCGGTCGCACTAGCAGCAGGAGTAGGAGTAGCAGTCGCAGCAGGACTGGGAAGGAGTAGGACTCGGCCTAGGTCGAGGCCGAGGACAAGGCCGAGAACGAGGAGGACGAGGAGGACGACGACAAAGACGACAACCAAGACGATGACGAGCACGATGAGGAGAAGGAGGATGCAGGAGCAGGAGCAGGAGTAGGAGTAGGTTTCGGAGTAGGGGTGGGAGTAGGACTAGGGTTGGGATGATAAGCAGTACTGACGTCAACAATCAATCTCCCGGACGCGACAGTTGCCAGGCAGATCGCATCGGCACCAAGCTCGGCGCACTTGAGGCGCGTGACGTTCTGGATGCGGAAACTGGAGACAGGAGAAGGCTTAGGAGAGCTCCTACAAGATGGTACACGTTTGCTAGCTTCCGATGCTTAAGTTGAGGCTTTCTCTGTCGTTGGCAGACCAGCTCTGATTGGCAATCATGTCTTCCGGCTTCGTTCAGTGGTGAGGCTGTTGCAGAGAACTACTGCTGAAGAATATTGGTTTCTTACATCATGGCTTCTGTATGAGACATTCCTTCGGAACTGTGCTCTATGACCACACGGAGTCGAGTTGAGGGTGTTTTGGACAGTCGGGTTGAAGGTTCAGTTGTTAGTCAGAAGCCTGTCCAAGCGTTTTCGACTTCTGGCTTGCATGGCTTGCGTGCTCCGAAGAGATCTGTTTTGCGGGCGTTGAGACTTGCTCAGAAGTCTTGCTGATGCAAGTAGAAAGCCTGTAAGCGCAAGAACCTCCAGCACTGAATGAGGACAGGCCTACAGCAGTCTAGGGCCCAGGGCATGCGTTCAAATTAAGGTCGGCAAGCCCAATATCAATGCAGGATTCCCAGGAAGTCCAGAAAAAAAGACGCCTAGACTCCCCAGGTCAAAGAGCAAGCCTGGGTCGGCGAGGCTGAAGTTTGTCAGAATCAAACCCTATCAAGGCTCAAGGCGGCAGAGCTTTACATCCTGTGGCCCAAAGCGCCAGAGCTGTAGGTAAAGGTCTCGGGGGTTGAGCTGGCGGGTTTCTGATCCTGGACTATCTCGGCTGTGTTTCAGTCCAGTCTTCCCGCACAGTCCCTGCAGCCTCGATGCGCTTGATACAGGCTGCCACAAATTATTCCCGAACGAAGTTTACTAGGTTAGGTTAGGACTTCGTGCGCAGAGTGCCTAGCACCTGAAAACGTCAGGTTTTCATCCAACTTCCGCAAGTTCTGAAGTTACATCCATGAACCGCGGGAGCAAGCTATAAGCTATACACCCCGAAACCGTCATCCGCCAAGACCCTACCACAACCCATGCAGACTGCTCAAACCCGACCTGAATCGCCAAATTGCCAAAGAGCTGAATTTATAGTGTTGCTTAGTATGAAATCTTTGTGTATCGCCTTCCAGAGTAGTCTTCTGCGTTACAGGTAAATCCACTGTAGTCAACCCACGGAGATAGCAGAGCTTGTTTTTGAGGGACCGGGATCAAGGGATCCTGATGTTTGCAGCCTGTTGTAACAATTAGCATGGGGCTTCGTTCAGGAGGTAGGCTTCAAGGTGTTAGAATAGAAGCTTGAAGCATGTTTGGCTCCGATTACTTTCCCTGTCATGACAGATAGTCAAGTATTTGTGCAGTTATGGCCGATCTTAAGAAAGCTGGTGTGTCATTGCTGATAACAGATGGCCCTGATGCAGAGGTCACAACCCTAAAACACAAGACCTTGCCCTCGGAAGCTTGACGAGAGCAGAGGGCTTCACACACACTGTCTTCATAAGCCCCGATACTTACGGCCGATGTCCTCTGTCCGCAAACCCTCAGTGTTGAACTCGAAATTCAAGTTGTTGAACGTTAGCGCTGAAGCCAGGACCGTAGACCTGGACCCGATACACCACTAAGCCAAAGAAGACGTGGAGACACCCTAGACCCTACCAGCATCAAAATGCACCGAATACGACTCCCAAAACCGAAAGCCAAGAAACGGAGAGTAGAGTTCTTTGCGCCCGCTGCTGGGGCACCCGCCGTCCACCTTCACCATGAAGTTTACCGAAGTGCTGGAGGACAGGGACCATCATCCAAAGCACTACCGGTTTGTCGAAATAATGGGCAAGTCGATAAACCAGTCATTGCCTAAGCTTGCGACAACGATATTTTATGTATTATATGTATATTATATATATATATATATATATGTATGTACCTATTTATTTGTTTGTTGTTTGTACATGCAACATGTATGTCTTTATTTACATATGTATAGATAAAGATACAGATATGGACGATCTAGACACAGATATGGCCACTTGTCTGTTCACATGTAGACAACGAAGCAACTTCGCATCCAGGGTTTCCATACGAACATGCATGCATCCATACATTCATACATGCATGCCTGCCTGCAGATGCACGGACAGAGAGCCAAAGTCTGTCGGTTTTTCTGTCTGTCTGTCTGTCTGCTGACCGACGGTCTGCCTGTGCCTGGCTAGCTGATTGACTGGCCGACGGGCAGAGTGTGACTGGTGACTTGACAGACTGCCGAAGTGACGACAAAGACGGTCAACATGTACACGCTCAGGGTCAACTCCACATGCACATGTAGAGCATCTGCGCATTTGATTATAGGCACGGTCACACGGGTTTGCACCTGCAACAGTCTGTGGTTAGTAATGTAAGATAGACACATTCCCAAATCTGAGCTTATACTATACTAATATGTTGTATACGCACGCACACATTGCATGCCTTCTTTGATGTGCCCTTGCCAATGTACATGTTTCCGGTGTTTATTTAGGCAGTTGTGTAGCTTTTTCGTGTTGCAGGGCCTGCAGCTTGTCTGCAGTTTGTCTACACGAGCCTTAGGAGGTTGAACAACATCCCCGCTAATTTGGGGCAAGATCGCTTCGATCAAGGGCTGTACCGCTGCCTGGAGCTAGTTATAGGTATCCAGGTTATTCACAAATTCCAAGCGAGCTGGGGAGGGGATGTTCGAGAAGAGCTTCCCTGACTGATGTCCTTGCGATAAGCGATCCAGTCAGTCACAGTTCCCCTTCCCGTGGTTTAATCTTCCAAGTCCTAGCGGCTCCAGACGTAAGAACCTCAAACTGAGCACGGAACTTTGCTGAAGAGTCGCAGAATTCTTCCAAGGTCCAGCGAACATCCACCAACCTCAGATTGAGGGTTTACGAATATAATCACCCAAAAATTATGTATACATGGTTCCATGAGTCTCGGTGCAACAACGCCTCCTAAGACTCTCGAAGACCTGAGGGACCGACCACACCGCTAGAAGAACCTCTGCTGCGGACTTTGCTAAACAAGAAGTCGCAATAACCTGATCCCAAACCACAACAAAGTAATTATACCTTGATTTTAAACAGAGCTGCACCTTAAAGCGCGGTGAGGCCCAGGAAGACCAGCCATCCTGACCAAACCCAGTGTCTGTGCCCCGAACTCCGAAAACTGACCCCCTACTTCCCCTAATTAATTCTCAATCCCACAAGCTCCACGGAGAAACCCGAAGCTGCAGTTTGCAAGCCCATTCTTTTCGCGCAATATGCCATTGTTGTAAGTATCGAATCGAAGCCAGAAACAGGAGAACATGCGTCTGCGCTGGCGGGCGTACTACGTGAACTACAGGCCCGAGCTCAGCTTCCAAAGCAGATGAAGGTCGCATTTCCGTAAGTAAGAACTGACACTTCACGATGATAGAAGAGTTTAGAGGTATTCTCGTCTCTGACTCACGACTGCAAGCACGATTGTCGGTTCGGGGTTCTGGGCCCGAAGGTAGGGGTTCGATATCTTATAGTTGCAGTGTGGCTTCAGAGCCCACACAAATGGTTTTCAATTCAACAATCTCAAACGCGGCCAAGCCCCCAAAAAGGCCGTATGCATGAGTTCCCGCAAATTCCAACCGAAGCGTGGTTTCTTTCGAGCACATTGCATGGCGTCAGTCCGTCGAAAAACGAAACCGGGGTTTGATGAGCAGAGGTTGCATGCTGAAAGCTGCTTTGCTGTGCAAGTTTGCCGTGCGAAGTGCAGGTTTCAACTGCGTACCTCATGCATTAAAGAAATCCTGAGACAATGATGCGCTGCCTCGACGGCACAAGTAAAGGCACCTGCAAGAGATTTCCGGAACACCTTAGTATGATTTCTTTTGGTTCCTTGTTTTATTCGGCGTTCTCAGTCCCTGCCAGCCTACGACAGGATCACAACAGGCATTTGCGGAAGCCTCTAACAACTTCTACGACCCCGACATCTTGGAGACTTTTCTCTTCTTGGTGCAAGACCTGTCTTGAGATCGGCAAAGCCCCCGAGTGAAATCAAAGCGCATAGCAACAGTCGCAAGGTTCAGAGTACTTTAATAATCACGCAAACCTTAGATGCAAGTAGTACGAGTAGTTAGCAGTGAGCGAAACCCTAAACCTTTAAGCGAACAGGAAATAATCATACCTGTCGCACCAGGTCTTTAAAAGTGTGTATCGAAGACATGGAGGTTCCCGCGCATGGGGGCTTTACGGGCTTAGGATTTACATCGCGGGGGGGGGGGGGGGGGGGGNNTGGGGGTTCTGTGTGCTCAGGAGCTTTCAGGCTTTGGGGTTTGGAGCTGTATGGTAACGAAGGAAATTCAGTTCTGTCTACAAAAGCGTGACAGTGTGAGCTGCCCCAAGCCGAGGAGACAAGTGAGGACCCTAGGTTAATGTCGCAGATTCGCGATCAAGAGTATTCTTTATTCTTTACTTGCCAGAAAAGCTAAACCTAAACTGCTAGAGTTCGAGTTTAAGATATATACAGGTTGCGGTGTTGGGGATGTAAGCTTCGGGCGCTCTTTTCGGCCTCGATTTCGCTGAGGGGGTGATGCTTTACGAGTATCCAAGATGTTGATAGAGGGTTCTACGGTGACTCAGAGTAGAACAAGTTGTTGTCGGGCGTCGTCCTGGACGGCATTCCATCTCAATTGCATGGTCCTTTTCTTTCTTCAGACTCTTAAACCCCATGGACAAGCAAGCCCTCAACNNACGTTCAATATATACATTCATCAGGAGTTCAGGATACACAGAGGCCTACTGCATCAAATCGTTTCCCAAAGTGTACAACGTCCCCAGACGGAGCTCAGAAAGCCATCCCTGCAAAGAGCATTGCCATTGCATCGTCAGAAACTCTGTCAAGGATCCTAAGCAAAATCCAGTCAAAGGGCAAAAGTAACACAATGCATCTTTTATACTTCTACCCTAAAGCCACAAACTAAACCCTAGCCCTGACACAAGACACGAAACCTTCACTGTGCCAGGGGGGGAAGGACGCTAACAACATCCACTTCATCACGCTGCTGGCTTGATCATAGCATTTGGGTCTTCAGCTGAAGGGCTTGGGCCGTTAGAAGACCCTCAGTCGTGGTTGTGCAAAACGGTTCAGCCGAGCAGAGAAACCTTGATTCGCGAGTGCAGGTCGGGAATGCACTCCTTTCTCATATCTCGATAAGTGTATATATATATATACATACACAAATACACACATGCAAGTACCTGTGTGTATATACATATATACATATATATATATATATATATGTATATGACTATATAGATATATACGCATGCACATACACACGCACACTGTGCAACCTCAACATCCCGCGCTAGATGTTCAGAGCCTCATTTGCCTATGGGTTTCCTCGTACCTTCGGACTTCGATAGGTTTTTGGCACTCTTTCCGTGGTTCTGGAACCTAGACCTTCACGTCCCAAGCCTAAAAGTCAAACCTAAAACTAGGAACCTTTTTAAAAGGGCCCCACATCAACAAATGCAAGGGTGAGTTGTAATTTCCGACAAGACCCAAACTGGATTTGATGAAGTGCGGGCATCACACATACATACACGGCACGAGGCACCAGCATACAGATATCAAGGGATGAACGCTCGAGACAGTCCAAGGATGTTTCGGGAGAATCTGGTGAAGGCCCTGCGGTTCTACGAGCGCACGGAAGAGCGACTATCCGCGCAGCGCCGTGGCTGCAAGCTGCAGCATGTCGGACCTGAAGGAACCTTGTTTTAGGAGTTTCAGGAGTTCGGGCGTAGGATACTGGTCTCAGATTTTTTCATCGGACTGCACCTTACAAGTCTTGAACCCCAGACAACCTGAACCGGTTTCTCAAGGTTTGGTGCTAATGCGTTTGATTTACATGTACGCTGAGCATCAAGGGGGCTGTTCAGGTGATTCTGGCTGTTCTTGTGGGTTAGCGTCGTTCGGCCTGTTCTCCGGAGCAGTTTAAGGGCAATCTACGGATGTTCGCAAGCTTTGGGGTGTTCTGGGCTTGCAGGGCATCGGTAAGAGGACTCCTTTGAAGTGCTTGCGGTTACCGAAGAGCCCGAAGCAGGGACCTGAACTCTAGCTTTGGCATTGCTGATGAACGAAAGGCGTGGGATAGTATAGATGATTCGATGGCGTAAATGCAACATTCATACCGAAGCCTGACAGTGTAAGTGTAACGCGGCTTTCGCTGCGTAGTTGTAAACTGAGGTTCCTCGCAGATATCCTGTGTTTCGTTGATCGGTCGTTCGAAGATTTCCCACCGGATGGCGAATGCATGCTTGTGATGGCCTTTACTTCTGTGCACTCGCTGAATTTTTCCACCACCAGAACGAGCACTGTCACATGCATCAACTCGAGGGTTCTCCTTCTCGTAGCTTTTGCTGAACTCTACCGCTGCAGAACAAATGCATGGCGAAGCCCGAGCCCGAGCTCGCGAACCTTTGCCAAGCAGCTGTTTCCACAAAGTGAACATCCTGCGGACATCCTTTGCAAGCTGGGAATCAACCCGTGCCTCAACTGCCAGGCGGCTGCGAACCCTTCGCAGGCCTCTGGCGGAAGCCCGACAACCTGCATCAGACCCCTACATCATGAACAAGCCGAGGCAGTACTTGAGACTCGAAACATCAGAACGTAAAACTGTATACTAGCTCTATAGCAAGTCTCCCTGAGCCGCCCTCCCCCCTGCCATAAAGCCTTGAATCCCCAAACCCGAATGCCCCAACGGCCCCCGAGGATTCGTGCTTCACGGGATGCTCCCAGCCCTTCGAAGCAACTCTGGCGATTGGTAAGGGTCTTCAAGATCTTAAATAAGTCTGATTAAGCATATAAACATACCGACATACAGACATGTTTGCATATATATATATATATATATGCCTACGGTCCCACATGGTCACATAGTAGGAGTTGTGTGTTAAGTTTCAGCATGGAGGTTTCAGCTTAGTACCATTACGGTCTGTCAATCTCTCCAACCAACTAAGAAAGCAAATAAATCATCAACAACAAGCATTTATCTATCTATTTGTCTAACTGCTTATTCCTCTATCAGCCTCATTACTTAACTAGTTAACGACTGAGCTAGCTAACCAACCAACCAGCCAGCCAGCCAACCAAACAACCAACCAGCCGACCAACCAACCAACAACTAACTAAGTAACCAGGTGACTTAGTTCATTAACTCACCATCTAACGGCTTAACTACCTGCTTGCCTGCATACCGAAGCCCGGCTTTTGCATTGGAAGTAGACCCTTGCAATTGTTAGTGCCCGTCGTGTCCATGGGGAGCGAGGGAATGGTGGATGGTCAAACAGGTGCGAGGCCGATCTCAGGTTTTGGCTTTAATCGTTTTTCGATCATTTCTGCGCAGGTATTTTGAGGCATAGGGATCGGTAAGACCGAAAGTGGCAGGCCCTAAAGTTTTGATATCCGAATCCGAAAAGCCTTATTCCTCACCCCTGAAAACCCTGTACCATAACCCTAATTTACCAGTATGCCTCTGAGCTCGTCAAGTTCGGCCCAAGCCGAACTTTAATGCCTAAAATGAGGTCAAAGATGCTTCGACATGAGCTCGAGCACGAGGCGCAGCATTGGAGTGATGATCAATCTGTCAACAGGGTGTGGAAGTCACTACGGTTTATGGTTTTAGTTTCGGTTTTAGAGTTCGGGCCGGGGTTCAATGCAAAGGGTTTAACAAACATCTTTTTACTTCAAGTATGCTGCTCCAAATACTTTCCGTGTTCTGAGTTTTCGTGTAATGTTGGAGTCCCTTTAATAAACTCCCCCCCCCCCCCCCTT